TTGCAAGCGTGAACTGAAGATTCCTGTTATCGAACTGGCATTTGTCAAAGCACAGAGAGAGAAGACTGGCAGTATAGGGGTTCTCATGATTTCTAGCCAAGATATTCCGGAGTCCAAGAGACAGGAGGCTGTCGCAGAGAGACAGAAGAGGAGAAGAGTTGCCGAGGAAAAGAGACTTGAGAAGGCCCTGGGTGAGGTAAAAAAGGCCGATGATTGGAGTCAAGCTGATTCAGAGTTTAATGACTTCCCCATGGCTGATTCGAGTGCTGACCAGGAGAATGGTGACTTTGTCCCTAACCCAGAAAATAATGATCCCAAACCTTCCAGGCATAGGATTCGAAATAGGAAAGATATCCCGAGCATAGCTCTGGCCAGCATGCGACACCACACTGGTCTCAGAGAAACTGCAGAGATAGCAACAGCTGCCTGGATTGACGGTGGTTTGATAACACCTGATGATGTTCACCTGGTGATAGATCATAACAAAGTAGGAGAGCTCAGGAGAAACTTGTCAGTAACCTAGAAGAGGAGTTTGATAAGGGGATAAGAGAAAATGGAATCAATTGTTTGTTCTTTGATGGGAGAAGGGATGACACTAAAGTGTTCATGAAAGTTGGAGATTCTGACAAGTTGTTCCCTGCCATGGTGAAGGAGGAACACTACTCCTGCTGCAGTGAACCAGGAGGGAAGTATTTGTGGCATTTCACTCCAGAAAGATGACATCAGGAAACCAGCTGAGATAGTGGCAGATAACATTGTGAACTGGCTCAGAGAGAGGAACGTAGACCAGACCCTGCAGGCCATTGGAGGGGACAGCACCAACACGAACACAGGGTGGCAAGGGGGGGTCATACAGTGGATAGAGCGGAAGATTGGGAGGAAGCTGGTCTGGATTGTTTGTGACCTCCACACCAACGAGTTGCCACTCAGACATCTGATCCAGGAGCTGGATGGCAAGACTCTTTCAAACAACAGATGGTCTGGTCCTCTTGGCAAGATGCTGGACTCTGCCACTGAGTTAGAAATAAATCTGAGCTTTGAAAAAATCACAGTTGGCCCTCCACTCGTTGAGCTTGCACATACTGTCATTAACGACCTGAGTACTGACCAGTACTATGGTTACATGATTTGCAGTGCCATCAAAACTGGGGTCATGCCTGATAGACTTGCTTACCTGCAGATAGGTCCAGTCTCACATTCTAGGTGGCTCACAACGGCTCTCAGGTTCTGCAGAATTTGGGTCGCTCATCATAAACTGAAAGGGAACCAGCTTCACAACCTGAGACTTATTGTCCAATTCATCGTGAGTGTCTACTTGCCAAATTGGTTCAACATCAAGGTCAAGTCATCGTTCTCCGAAGGTCCGAGGCATGTTCTCTTCCAGCTTGAGCTCCTGAGAGTCAGCCAAGGAAGGTTGTTCAGATTGTGGAGCAGACTGTGAGGAGATCTTCCTGGTATGCTCATCCCGAGGCAGTTCTGCAGACAATGCTCTGCAGTAAGGATGAGGAGGAGAGAAGAGTGGCAGCAAAAAGATCTTGGATATGAGACTTATGAGAGGATCTGGGCATGACGAATCAGTTGGTGACGATTCCTTCAGGGTCAGGAAGACTCCTGAAGTCAATCTAGGTGCCAAGACCCTCACTGATCTCATAGATCTGGATAACATCCAGGCTGGCAGTGAGCCCCCTCTTACCTGCAGCCTCACCAATGTTCAAGTCAGAGTTTTCCTGGACAACCCCATGCATGTCCCTGCCTGGCCCTCGCACACCCAGAGTATAGAGCGTTGTGTACAGCAAGTGAGCGAGGCCAGCAGTCACGTGTACAGCCAGGAGAGGAGGGAAGGCTACATCCGAGCTCAGGTGGTCAGCAGGGAGGTGATGAGTAAAAACAGAAGCAAGAAAGACATGTTCTCTATGGTGTGCAGCAACACCGGGTCGTAGTAGTAAAACCGGTTTTTGTATTTGATGATTTTGTTTTCTAAAGGAATATTAAATTAAATAAATGTGTCAAGATCATTCGTTTCACTATTCTGGATCATTTTCATCCTAATAAATTAACCTGATACATTTACTTTACTTTAAATAAGCTATTTAGTGGTGTTGGTAAAAGGGTGGGAATACTGAATTTTCATAAGATTTCAAGTTAAAATTTACCTAGCAAAAAATAAAAACTTTTCAAATCTGAAGATATCACATGATTCTGCACATAGAACTACATCATTAATACCATGGGCCGATTTTTCAAACTCAAAAAAAAAAAATTCGCCTCCGTATGACACACTGAGAAAAAACGATAGGCGAAATCCTTTTCAATTCTTTCACGCCATACTCTTTGTTTTAGGTCCTATCTGTATGATATATATGGACACAAAGTAGTACCTTCAGCTGTATATTATTATATTACTCTTATATTACTCTTATTAATTATGTATAGTAAAGTATTACAGAACATGTATTAATTCTATGTAATATTCTATTTATTGTGCATCATATTATGTATATAAATTATCACATTTATACTTTATGTATTCAGCTTGTGAATGCTGGCATTTGTACAGGCCAGCGCGTAGTAATACATAGATAGATGTAGAGACAGAGAAGACTGAGTCCTGGTGGCGTGACCACGGGCTTCTGCGTCCTATTGTATATATATCTCCCGTACGAGAATAGAACCTACTTTTAAAGACAACAAGTGTTTGTGTATACCCTGAGTAGTATAGAACATTCTTTGGGTATCCCTAGCAACACGCTAGACTATCCAATATACTACCGTATATAGAATTATTTTTATTATTATATCACAGTTTTTTTATTGCCTTAAATGTCCCCAACTCTTCAATATTAATCAAAATGTTGGGTTCCGGTGGGTAGAGTGGGTACCGCTCTTGCCTCGCAAGGGAGATGTCACGGGTTCGATTCCCGGGCCGGTGGAAAGTTGTTCGGACACACTTCCCCGCCTCCATTGGTCCCTGTTCACCTAGCAGCAAAGTAGGTACCTGCTGTAAATCGAAAATTGCAAATTCGTATTCAGGGAAAGTTGTTGGAGCTTCCAGTAACTTGCTTAGACATAAACCATTGACTCTTCAGGCTTCTACGCCCTTAACTCATGAGACATAAAGGCAAGCATGAACTTAGCATGCTTTCCTGTTGGGCGCTGTAAACGCTTCTGCGCTTCACCTTACACAAGGATGTACGGGGGGTGCCCAATAATAAAAAAATAAAATAAAGTAAAATAAAATAAAAATGTTCTCCATAAGCGTCCATGATCAGCGTATTTTCAGTGGGAGAAATCGCTGATTGGTTGTTAGCTATTTGGGCCGCTTAGGCGCTGCACAAGGCTAACGCCTGATCGAGGCGTTAGCTTGAAGTGGATTCCTCCCCTACAAATGTTGTTTGTCGCTGAGTAGCCGACCCCGCGAATTCCCCAGTGTATGCCTCATGGTCTAGGTCAACCAGCGCCGCCTTACATGACGGAGGTCAACTATTAAGCCACGCCTACCTCTGCTACATAAGACCTGACCTCGTGGTGACCTACCTCGCTTTCTACCTACAGTCAGTCTTCAAGTAACACCACTTCCTCCGCTCCTGCCTGGCGGCCCTCGTTCCCGCCAGCGAGCATGGCGACCCACAAGATGGTCCTCCTCTGAGCATCCTCACCAACCAGCTCTCTCTACATCACGCTTGTAACCACGCTGCCACTTCCCAGCACCAAACTGCACTGTACATCCAATACAATATGTATACAGAGAGCACATTGTGAGTTTCCTTTCTCCATCCCATCCTGAGTGTGAACCAAATAACCCGTACCCCACAAGCTTTCCCCCTGATCGTGTCTTGCGCACAACTCAAAAGCAGCGTCTGCTCAGACAGAATAGCTAACGCGTTAGCTATTCCGTGCATCGAAAACGCCTTGCAATAAACGCCTTTAATTACACGCCTTATTTTAGTGTCTTCAGCAAATTTACTTACGTTAATGTTTACGCCTATATCTATGCTAGCTACGCTGCGGATGGAAATTACGTGGCTTTGAATTGCTTCTGTTGTTTTTCAATGAGGCTGTTCAGACCAGATATGTATAGCACCATCCCAGATTGCCTCCGAGATTTTTTCTCGGCGTGGCTTCGTTGAGCATGCGCACTAGAGCATTTTGGCAGTCTGAGATTGACAGTTGAGTGTCGGCAGCTAGCGCTCTGCTTCAAGGTCATTTTCAACCAAATACTATTTACCTTTGTGTATAAATGAAGCCTTTCCTTGGGGCTTATAGACTACCTGTAGTTTGTATCTTCTTTCTTTATGTCCTCTTCAATTATTAATAGAACTTCATTTGAACTGAGAGTGGGATAATCTGAAATGTTGTCTAAATTTTTCATCAACTGAAAGCTCCTGCACAAGATGATGGCAATCGCCAAAGTTTGGTCTTTTCACATTTGTTTGATGTACCCTATTCTTTTTCTTTTCTTAGAAATTCCTAGAGTCAGCAGTAAAATTTCTTCACTCCTCCTTTTCCTCATAAAATCACTGTGCAATGCCTTTCATTCTGACTGGTGCAACGACTTTTGAGAGTATCTCTCGAAATACATGGCTTGCATATTATCCGGTGTGAACACTGACATAGTAAGCATCGCGACCGAAGATCCTTATCTGGTGTGAAACGGTCACTCAAAAACGAGCCCGGCAACGTGGGGTTCTCCAGTTAGTGTAATAATAATAAACCTTTAATATGATTATGATAGACCTCTTTAATATTGTAACAAGAGCTCTGGAATATGACTTCTGAAAAATATACTTTAGTATTTAGAAGTATACTACACTTTAGATATATTCCTTAGGGTACAGAAATATATTATGATTAAAGAAACATACTGGAGTTCATAACGATATTTTTGGTTCAGAAATACTAATGGGTTAAGAGACAAAGTTGAGAACATGACACACACACACACAATAGAGTTTAAGAAAGATACAAAAGTTGAGAAATATGCTAAAACTGGTGAGACAGACCTGCGTAGAGAATACGTCCTGGCGGCGGTTGCGGGTGGTGATCCTCACTTGGGCCTCCAGGTTGGCCATGGAGGCGAAGGCGTAACATGAGCCGCAAGAGCCTTGGTCCCTCACTTCTGATATGTAGTTCACGCCGCTCGCATTACGCCAATCAAAGTTTTCCGGCAGACTGGCGATGACAACCTTTTGCCTGGGTGTGGTAGGGGCAGGGAAGGGCCTGGTGTGGGTGGCGATGGGTCTCACGCCACCACCTCGACGATACATCTCCTCCACGGTGTACCTGACAGAAACCAGAAGCTTTCTCATGATGGCTAACACAAAAAACTATTTTTACGTAGGCAAAAACACCAACTAGGAAATAAATTAACAAAGATTAAAAAAAAACTACGGTAATAACAGGACTCACACACACACACAACCAAACACTACTAACTTCTCAAATTCCGGGTAAACCTTAGCCGTCCACGAGGTCTGGGCGGCATTGATCTTGGCTACGAGATGGTGGTCGTTCTTGTAGCGCTCATCAGCACTCATCAGCACTTGTATCTCTCTAACACGAGGAGCCACCTGTGAGGCAAAATAGAAGACAGACAATTTAATGACCACATGAAACCCTGTATGAATGGCCCTAGCCTTTCACTCTCTCTCCATTACGATGTCCATTTGATCATTTGACTTAATGAGTCTCTCTCTCTCTTTCCATCTATCCCCTTTTCTCTTTCACTCCCTATTTAATATTACTTCACACATCTAAACTAGATTTTTAAGGATTTTTTTACAAGTCGACTTCTTTTAAAAAGAACCAACTTAACCTAACCTAACCTGACAACCTTAAGTATGAAATATATGAAACAGGACTGGTACTGTAGGTTCGTATAAAAAAAAAAAAATATATATATATATATATATATATATATATATATATATATATATATATATATATATATATATATATATATATATATATATATATATATATATATATATATATATATATATATATATATATATATATATATATATATATATATATATATATATATATATATATATATATATATATATGCTGATAGCCACAAGGAAAGAAGAAAACACGAAGTTCCCAAGCGCTTTCGTGTAATTTACATCTTCAGGGGTGAGTACAGACTAAGGAGAAGTACAAAACAAGGTGTATATATACAGAGGAGGGTGAGATCAGGTCCACAATGGTCAGGTATTAGGTAGTGACCCTACTAATCTTTAAAAAGCACCGCAACGGTCGGTAGTCAGGTCAGAGGGTAAGGTAACCCAACCTTCTCACCTGGTTACAAATCTTCTTTATTACAAAATTGTCCAGCTTGTACATGCCATTACTCAAATTCATGTTGACTGCTTCGGTATGTTTAATGAGACTAGATTCTATAATGTTCCTACTGTCAATTGAATTACAAGGTAATATTGCGGAGGCATTATCCCAGTCAATGCAATGCTTATTATCCCTCAGATGAACAAACAGAGCATTGGATTCCTGGCCTGTCCTAACACTATATTTATGTTGTTTAAGTCTAGTTACAAGATCTTTACCTGTCTGGCCTTAGTAAAACATATTACATTCCTTGCAAGGAACTTTATAAATGCAACCAATTGTGTTGTTGGGGGAGTGCTTGATTAACATTTGTTAAACAGTGCATGAGTTTTTAAATGCCACATTGACGTTCCAGGTTTTTAGTTGTAAAGGAATTTGAGATAAATTTTTGTGAAATGGTAATACTAAGAGATTCTTATGGTCATGGGTGGGCTTGGGATCAGTTCTATAAAAAGATTTCTTAGTAATGTTCAGGCATTTGTCTATGAAAGATCTAGGGTATATAAGGTTTGTGCCAATATTATAGATATATTTATATTCCTCATCAATGAATTCCGGGCTGTAAATTCTCAAAGTACGTAAAAACATTGTTGAAAATACTGACTGTTTGACTCTATTATGGTGGGCAGAATAATAATGAATGCATGAACACACATTAGTAGGTTTTCTATAAATACTGAACTTAAAGGTGTTACCTATTCTGTGTATCAGACAGTCTAGGAATGGCAATTTACAGTCATGCTCTAATTCCACAGTGAATTTGATCGAGGGGGCTAAGTTGTTAAGTTGTGGCAGGAAACCTTTTAGGTCCTCATTACTTGGCCAGAGACATAATACATCATCTACATATCTAAACCAGACTGCTGAAGGTGGTAAAATATTACTTAATAGTTTCTTTTCAATGCTCTGTTTGTTCATCTGAGGGATAATAAGCATTGCATTGACTGGGATAATGCCTCCTCAATATTACCTTGTAATTCAATTGACAGTAGGAACATTATAGAATCTAGTCTCATTAAACATACCAAAGCAGTCAACATGAATTTGAGTAATGGCATGTACAAACTGGACAATTTTGTAATAAAGAAGATTTGTAACCAGGTGAGAAGGTTGGGTCACCCTACCCTCTGACCTGACTACCGACCATTGCGGTGCCCTCTCCCTTGTGCCATTGTTGGCCATCTTCCCGGACCGGACCATCCACGACTGTCATCGTCCACAACAACTCACGAGCGTTTTCGGTTTATCGAGCATTAGCTTGCCCTCCCCACTGGTGGTGTGAGTGACCCACACTCCAGCTGGAGAGCAGTTATAGCGCGATATTCCCGACGTGGTTTGAGCTCTTTTCCTTCTACTGCTATTTTTCCTTTTTCGCTCTGGCCTAGGGACCTGCACCCTCAAAAAGTGTATTCGTCCTGCAGTCCCCCCTGTAACTGTTCACCTCCCTCCCAGGAGATTGTGAACACGAAAGGGGGTTGGAGCAAAACCCATCCCAGCCGAGTCTTTCCAGGAAAACCGTGATCGTGCGGGTCCACCTGGAAAGAGGGTAGCAATCCTTATCCTTCCCAAATAGGCACACTTAGCTCACGTCTATAAGTGAGCAGTCACATACACTAGGAAGTAGGCTTCCCCAACGGGGCTCCGGGAGAGAAGCTCAGGAACCACTCTACGACCACCAGCCAGTGGGGAGTGCTGAAATTCCTCTGCTACTTACTCAACCGGAATAGGTAGGATTAAAAAAAAAAAACGGTTATGGAGCGCATACGCCCTCCTAACCGCGACCCCCTCCTGAACCGCCAACCTGACGACCCGAACCACGACAGGCTCCGCACAGAGAAAGCGGACCAGTTACGCGCCTTCAATGAAGCCCTGAAAAGCAGGAACACTGCCACCACCTCCAACAACTCCACCACCACTACTACCGCCACTGAGGACGACAACTGGACGAAGGTAGAAAATAAAAAACGCCGACGTGCCTTTTCGGGAAACGAATGCCGTCAAGCAGCCCAAAAGGCACCCATCACCACCACCAGCTCACCTCCAACGACACTGCCAAAATTCCGGATCACGAAAACGGACACAAAAACCTCATACGCCGCCATCACAGAGATAGAAAAGCAAAATCCACTGGCCAAGTTCTCAGTGCGGCCCAACCTAAAGGGGGAGATGATTATTCACCCCAAAGACAAGGACTCCGCCACCACCCTCGACACTTACCTGCAAAACACCACCACCGTTGCATCAACCAAGCTAGACCCGCCCAGAAACTGATGAAGTCGGTAGTCCTCCGGTACCCAAAGGAACTACCTCTCGAACCCCTGGAGAACCACCCGAAGATCTTAAAAGCCGAGAGATGCTCTCCCCTGTCCGACAAGACCGCCACCACCAAACAAGTGCTCATAACGCACTACGGCTCACCCCCCAGCACCATAGACCTCAAAACCTGGGGGATCTACGAAGTGAGGCCCTTCGTCCCAGAGCCCCTGTGGTGCTTCAGATGCCAGAAATACGGGCACCATCAGACAAGGTGCACGTACAAGGAAATCTGCGCAGTCTGCGCACAGAAGCACGGCACACACTCCTGCCTCACCAAATTGAAAAATGGGGAAAAAATTGCCCCCAAGTGTGCCAACTGCGGGGGCAAACACCACGCCTGGAATCCTGGATGCTCCGAGAGAACAAAGAGGGTCCAGGCAAACCGACCAGCAGTAAGACCGGCCCCCACCGCCTAAACACCAGCCCCACCAAGTACCTTCGTGTGGGGAACCCAAAGGCCAAAACAACAAAGCCAACCTCCTCAGCCGGTCAACACCCAAAGTGCAGCCCAGTTTCCTGGCCTCACTACGGCCACACATCAGCCACCCAAGCAGCAGACAACGACAACCACGAGAAAGACAAAAGAAGCACACACCAAGGCACCAGAAGGAATGGTATACGTATCAGACCTAGCCAAAGTACTGACAACGTTCGCGGAGAGCCTAGCCGGACTACTGGGCCACAAGATCCAACCCACACAGCTCCAAATACTCATGGGGAGCGTCCTCGGGCAAGTCGCCACAGCTCTAGCCACCTCAGTGGAGGAAGCCACGCCGGTCCTCACACGAGTGACAGCCGAGGTACACTCTACACCGAAGAAGGCCACCAGAGAACCCAAGATACCGACAGCTCCCAGAAAGAAACTGGACGTTTCAACTCCCCTGAACCGAACCACGGCCCAGAAGGCAAAAAACACAGAACACGAAGATATGAACCTGATCCAGTTGGAATCGAACTTGGACATCTCCATCGAGGACCACCGGAAGTCCCCGATGAAACAGTGGTGGAAAACATCAGCACCCTGAACATCCTAACATGGAATGCTAAGGGCATCAAAAACAAGAAACACCTCCTACAAGAAGCAGCAGCCAAGGACAAGCTTGACATCATACTGCTACAAGAAACACTTCTACAAGAACACCACTGTTTCAAATTCAGTGGTTACAAGACATACAGGAGGCATTTCACGCAGGCGTCAACAAGAGGATATATGATCTTGGTCAAGTCAGGCATACCCTCCGCCGATGTCACGCAGCAATTTCCATGTGGGGAAAACATCGAGACACAGGCCGTCAAAGTAACCCTCCAAGAACAGGAATTAACTGTTCACAACATCGACAAGAACCCAAGGGGCTCACTGGAGGTGACTCAATTATTTGCTTCGGCCGCTGACCACGCCACACTCATAGGAGGGGATTTCAACGCACATCATCCCTTCCTAAGCTCGGCAAGCCCCACAAATGAAGACGGCCTACACCTATACACCACCTTTCAAGATACACCCGAGATCTGCCTCCTGAACACCGGAGAGCCCACCCACACTAGGGGAGGAAGGCTAGATCTAACCTTCGTCTCCAGTGCACTACAGCCTTCGGCCTCCTGGCAGATACACCCCACGCTGACCAGCGACCACTTCGCCACCCTAACAACGCTGAAGGTGAACAAACTCCCCACTCCACCCCCCACCCCCCGAGATGGAGATACAATACCCAAAAGGCAGACTGGGGACTCTTTAAGAAACACCTGGCTAAGTGGCGCGAAAAATCACAGCCGGCCGGCGCAGCACCCGTGGATGAGACAACCCTCCACCACCAACTGGTCGAGGCGTTTCACCAAGCGGCAGAAGAGGCTATCCCAAAAACAAAACCCACATCAAGACAGTACAAGGATTACTGGTACTACTGTC